GGTGTTGAGTTTGTTAAGTTCTTTATAGATTTTGGATACTAACCCTTTGTCAGATATGTCATTTGCAGATAACTTCTCCTATTTCAAAGGTTGCCTTTTAGTTTCATTGATTGTTTCTTCACTGTGCAGAATGTTTTTATCTTGATGAATTCCCAATAATTTACTTTTGGTTTTGTTTCCCTTGCCTCAGGAGAGGTATCTAGTAAGAAGTTTCTATGGCCGATGTTGAAGAGGTTACTTGCTGCCTGTGTTCTCTTCTAGGATTTTGATGGTTTCCCGTCTCACATTTAGGTCTTTCATCCATTTTGAATTTATTTTTGTGTATGGTGTAAGAAAGTGGTCCAGTTTCATTCTTTTGCATGTGGCTGTCCAATTTTCCCAACACCATTTCTTGAAGAGACTGTCTTTTTTCTGTTGGATATTCTTTCCTGCTTTGTCAAAGATTAGTTGACCATAGAGTTGAGGGTCCACTTCTGGGCTCTCTTTTCTGTTCCATTGATCTATGTGTCTGTTTTTGTGCCAGTATCATACTGTCTTGATGATTACACTTTTGTAATATAACTTGAAGTCCAGAATTGTGATGCCTGCCCCTTTACTTTTCTTTTTCAAGATTGCTTTGGCCACTTGAGGCCTTTTGTGCTTTCATACAAATTTTAGGATTGTTTGTTCTAGCTCTGTGAAAAATAATGGCCTATCGAAATACCACTGACTATGGGGGGTATAGCTCAGTGGTAGAGCATTTGACTGCAAAATACCACTGACTATGTGGTTCTTAACATCCTGGACTTGTGGCTTCCAACACCCTGGGGCTGACAGACCAAAAGCCAGCCCTGTCCTCTTCAACCTCTGCCCTGGGTAACCAGTAGCTTCATTATAATATATTTATATTGTGCTTTTGACCTTCCCCCATCCCCCATGCCTCACCCTACACCCACAAGGGAAGACGGCCATGACAGGTCCGGCAAGAATGTGGCAGGGCCAAAAACTCCCCCTCGCAACCAGTACGAGGAATCCCTCAGATGATTTGAAACAATACCAGTTGGAGCCCACCCCTAGCTATGACCCATAACCTATGCAAACATGAAAAGAAAAGACACCCCTAACCCTATCCCCAGTGCAGTTGCCGCCTCGGCCTGCCTGCTCTCCCAGCTTGAGAGTGCGTAGTCCTTAATCAACTGCTTTGTGTCTGTCACCTTCCTTCTGGCTGTCTTTACTAGATCCTGGACCCCACATAAATCTTTTGTGGGGAATGCAAGAACTGAGACCTCAAGTCACACAATGCAGAGTCTTCCACCAATAACAATTATTGCTTCAAATATTGTTTCTGTTCCTTTCTCTTTTCCTCCAGTATTCCCACTTTGCATCTATTAGGCCCTTTATAGTTGTCCCACAGTTCTTGGATATTCTGTTTTGTTTTTTCAGTCTTTTTTCTTTTTGCTTTCCAGTTTTGGAAGTCTCTATGGTCATATCCTCAAGCTTGGAGACTGTTTTCCTCACTGTGTCCAGTCCACTAATGAGTCCACCAGAAGTATTTCTCATTTCTGTTACAATGTTTTTGATCTTTAGTATTTCTTTTTGATTCTTTCTCGGATTCCCATCTTTCTGCTTACATTATCCACTGTTCTTGCATCCTGTCTACTTTTTCCATTTGCACCCTTAACATATTGATCATAGTTGTTTTAAATTTCTGGTCTGATCACTCTAACATCCTTGCCATGTCTGGTGCTTGTTTAGTCTCTTTAAAATGTGTTTTTTGGAGTACCTGGGTGGCTCAGTCAGTTGGGCGTCTGCTTTCGGCTCAGGTCATGATCCTGGGGTCCTGTGATCGAGCCCCGCATTGGGCTCCCTGCTCAGTGGGGAGTCTGCCGCTCCCTCTCCCTCTGACCCTCCCCACCCCCGCTCATGCTCTCTCTCTTTCAAATGAATAAATAAAAAATCTTTTAAAAAATTAAAAAAAAATTTTAAATGTGGTTGTCTTTCAGTATGTCTTGTAAATTTTGGCCTGATAGCCAGCTATGATATACTGAACAAAAGGCTGTTGTGAAAAGGCCTTTAGTAAGGTTGTTGTAAAGTGTGGGAGGAGAGGACATATGCTATAGTTTTATAATTAGGTGGCAGTCTTTTAGTAAGCCAGTGTCCCCGGACTATGAACTTCAGTGCTTCTTAGTTCAGTGCTTCTTTTGCCTCTTAGGTGAGACAGCGTGGCTGAAGGGGGCTGGAACTGGGTAT